CCCTTAATCAAATATAATTTATTTGTAACTTCTACTAGAGCTGAAGGTAAGAATTGAAGTGGAAATAAATAATATCGTGTGCAATCTTGATTAATATAAAATTAGAAATATTTGCATAGAAAAATATTTGCATTCAGACAGAAAGTTTTTTGAAGTATTTGCAATTACTTTATAAGAAGGATTTATTAATAACCGAAATAATTACTTATTATATTACTGATGATTAGAATTCAGTTCTGGACAATTACATTCTAAATTAGAATTTTAAGGATATAATGAAAATACGCTACGCAGAAAAATAAAAATACATTTTAGGATAAAAAAAAATTGAGTTCGATTTTTTTATGTTTAAAAACTTCTTAAATTTCATTTAATGAAACATCGTACCCTCCGTTAGTTAATTGAATCCAGAATGTTGGGTGTCGTTTATATAATTATTGCTTATTTGTCCACAGAACCTGCTGACTTATCCAGACCATTAAGTAGCTGCAGACCATTTCTACATAACCATTGAATTACTATAACCATTAATTCGGTCTCTAAAGGGTTGTATGTTTATATTATAATTTGACTTTTATAAAAATGATTATTCTAAATCTTATGTTTCTATAAAAATATACTGTGCTTTGAAAATATGGATGATAGTATCAGCCGCTCTTTCAGCCACTTCATAAGCAACAGCTTGTTTAGAAATAAATTATGCAGTTAATGTCATAAAATATTTTCATAACATTCAAATAAACATCAAACGAAAGTTTTCAGTTTTAGACAATTCGATTTAAACGAAGTTAAAGTAAAGTAGCAGACGATAAAACGCCGAAGATAAAAATTTATTCTTACAAATATTTTTTTAAAAAATCTGATGTGTACACCACATGACTTACTTGTACGGAATACTAAATTATACGCATTTTTTCTTGCATTTTATTTAAACTTATTAGATTGAATTAAACCTACTTCGCCGACAGCGCATAAACCACAACAGAATAAATGCATTCTTTAAAATTCACTTTCTTTACCATAGCGACACTCTGGCGCTAGGTTCACTTAACAGTATTATATTTCGTTCATATTATAACTCTGAATGCACAAAATTTATACCATTTAAAGAATTATCTAATCGTTGCCACATGTTCTATTCAAATACTATACTAAAGCTAGAACTGATGTATAGAAAGAAATTAAGCAAACGAAACAAAAAGAAACAGTTTTTCACAGGCGATTGAGTATTTTCTCATTCAATTATATTAGTTCTCACTTCGCGACAAGGCAAAAATACATAAAAACTCAAAATATCTGTATTAAAAATTAGGAAGTAAATCTTAAACGCTTATTTCCTCGAAAAAATTCAAGAAAGGATTAAGCATGATTTAATTGGCAATAATAAATGAATGCGTCATCTTTGTTGTTGCGAAGCTAAGTTTCTTTAGATTGGCAACGAATCCACTAGTCTCCTGTTTCAAATGTAAACATTAGCGGCCGCCATCAAATTAGGCTTAGCGGCACTTAAACATGATAATTCTAAAAATATTGCATACAGATTTACTAAAGGCATAAAACCCTTAACCGGAAGATAAAAACAACATAATTCAATCATTTTTAAAGCAAAAAATGTACAATTTACAAACATATAACAGTAAAGAAACTGAGATTATCGAGCCGGGTAACACAGTGGATATATTTATAAATATATTTATATATATATAATTGGCGCGGCCGATTGAAACCAAAATACGAGGTGCACATCTACATGTTATAGTAGTCTTATATACAAAATTTCAACGTTCTGAGGCTACTCGTTTTTGAGTTATGCGAGATACGTACGTACGCACGTACGTACAGACGCCACGAAAAATTCTCTTCAGAATTCATTTTAAAGCAGTTATATAATTTTTTTTTTTTTTTTTTGAGGAAAAGAGTCTTTTATTCTGTCCTTACGCACAGATATCACTTCGCTCTTGCGTTGTGACCGACTACAGATATCACGCAAATACATCGTTAAATTGCATTCGAAAGCGGTCAAAATGAATATTTTCGTTGAAATATGCTGCCTGAAGCTTTTCGCGAATACAATACTTCCTTTTAACTTCGTACAAGGAAGTAAAAAGAAAAGAAAGAAATTTTAAAAAATAGTTAAAATTTTGAATAATATCATCTATTATTTAAAAAAATAACTTTTCATATAGTATTAATAAATATTTATTACGCATCATTGAGGGAAAAAATTTCATATAGTAATTAATTCTCCGTAAAATTTTATTAGAAATTTAAGGTTAAAAATAGCTGTGGCAATTCACTGTAACAAAAATCCATAAACCACATTTGGCGTTATTATCGCTCAAAAAAAAAAAAAAAAAAAAAAAAAAAAAAAAAAAAAAAGATGCCAAATTTCAAAACGCGAAAATATGTAAATTCGTGTATATCTTAGAAAATTTTGAATAAAAAAGTCTAATTTTTGCAAGTATGCTTAGAAATACACCTACTTTAAGATGATGGTAAAAATTTATAGGTTATAATTCAAATTTTTTTTTCGAAAAATTTATAAAAATTATTTAAAAATAGAAATTTAAAAAATAAAACACAAAATATGGGTAAGTTTTATTTGGAATGAACTTAAATTTCGAAATGTGAAAGGAAAAATCAAAAAATTTTAATAAATATTTGCCAAATTTAATTAACATTGAGGAGCTAAAATTTTGAGAGCTAATATTTTAAAATCTACTCGTGCGATTTTTACAAAACTTGGCATTCTGGCATAATTTGAGTCGTTGAATCGAAATATGAAAAAAAAAAAATTGGTATGTTATTTCAGAAAAAGTCCGATTTTCTGTCAAAATACCTATGTTAGAATAGTGTTATATATAAATCTAATATATATCCTAAGTCACGCTTTCGTGACATGAAAAATGCAGTTTGAATTTTGTCAGTCGGCCCTGTAGAACGGGAGATATAGCACTGTCCCCCCTTTTTTTTTTGAGCAGTGTACAACGTATATGTATATAATCATTATACATGCAATGTTGAAAAAAAAAAAAAAAAAAATCTCTGAAGACACAAAACGAGTTATCAGAAAAAAAGAAAAAGTTTTCTTGAAAAGTTATTCAACTTCGAGATATTCCAACATATTTAAACAACTTTATTTTTCTTCTAAAAGTAATTCTCTGTTCAAAAAGAATGTTTTCATAAACGGTATTTTACACACAAAGCAATCATTAAAAAATAAGATATACGGTATATATCTTATTTTTTAACGGTGCATACATAGGGCCGCTACGAATCAGTCCCGGTGATCCCGAGGAATGTTAACTAAAAAAATCAAAATGTGAAACAAGAAATAGCGCTCTCCATCGAACAGAGATATTGTGATCCATCCAAAAGGTGATGGTCTCATTAACATCAGTACCTTAAATCCCAACTTGGAACCCATGACGTACGTACTTTTCTTTCCTCACGGCGAGCAAGGATTCAGAGTCGGACAGCAATACACAGAGTTACAGTTTTACAGTCACAGGGTGTCCGTACGACGAGATTGCTACAACCCGATTTTGTATGGCCGGAAATTGTTTCAGCAGTATCTCGTGGATGCATACGTAAAAGTTGAAGGCAACAGGATTGCGTACCTCCGGAGCCATCAGACGAATCTGAGAGTGGAAACTTACATGGGTCTTGCCGATCACATTTACAGAGTTGGTCAAGAGACGGGCGTCCGCCCCTGGAATACCGGTTATACTTCCGTCAACGTTTATAGGAAGCCCTCGCAGTATGCAGGAAAATTATCAGGACGTTATAGCCATTGTACGTGACTTTGGTAAACCAGGTCTGTTTTTGGCTTTCACATGAAATCTAAATGGCCAAAAATAACAGACAGAAGGCTCACGATCGCCCGGACATCGTTTCGAGGGTATTTGACCTGAAGAAAACGGCTTTGATGCAAGATTTGACAAAGAATCACATCTTAGGTGCGACCATTGCAGATATACACGTCATCGAATTTCAGAAGAGAGGATTGCCTCATATGCACCTTTTGTTGTTTTTAGCGGAAGAAGACAAAATAAGAGATGCAGAGTGCATCGACTCGCTGGTGTGTGCTGAACTTCCAGATGCTACTCGACATCCGGAGCTACACAACATTGTGAAGTCATCGATGATTCACGGACCCTGCGGTGAACTGAATAGAAACTCTCCCTGCATGAGTGTGATGGTGTATGTTCGAAAGGATTTCCGAAACCGTTTCAGGCAGAAACTAAAGAGAACGTGAATGGCTACCCACTCTACAGAAGAAGGGACGATGGAAACTTTATCGTGATCAAGGGTCATGCCATCGATAACAGATGGGTCGTTCCTTACAATCCGTATTTATCGAAAAAGTACAACGCCCACATAAACGTTGAAGTATGCAGCTCCATAAAATCGGTGAAGTATTTGTTCAAATACGTGTACAAGGGTCATGATGCAGCTAAAGTTGTTCTGGAAGAATCTGAAGATAGAACTTTAAAGTGGGATGAGATCAAATCAAGATATGTGTCTGTCCCTGAAGCAGTGTGGAGGCTGTTTGAAAAAAGAATGCATTCTAAGTCGCACTCCATCATACGACTACCGGTTCATTTGGAAAACCTGCAGCCCGTCTATTTTGCCGAATCCGAAGAAAGGAATGCTTTCCAGAGAGCTGCCGAGAAAAATACCATGCTCACCGGATGGTTTGAACTGAACAGGACAGTTCCCGAAGCGAATGGTTACCTGTATGCCGAAATTCCTAAACATTTCACCTGGAGGAATCATGCCTGGCAGACACGAGTTAGACTTGGAGATTACATCATTTCAAGAATGTATTCTGTTAGCCCGAAAGATGTTGAGCGTTTCCATCTGAGGTTGCTGTGTCACGTTAAAGGAGCGAAGAGTTTTGCCTTAAGACTTACGAAGGTGTGGAGTATTCAACGTTCAAGGAAGCCTGCCGTGCAAGGCATCTGCTGCAAGACGACGAAGAATGGAAAAATAAAAATACTCTGGCAGAAGCATCAGCTTTTCATATGCCACCGCAGCTAAGACAGCTTTTTTGCTTCATCTGTGTTTTCTGCAACCCTGCGGAACCCGTCGCTTTGTGGAATGAATTCAAAGAGTCCCTTTCTGAAGATTTTGCGAGATCTTACTCCTTAGAAGACAGTTTCAGCCTTGCACTGAGAAGTATAGAAGACCAGTTAGAAGTGCACAATGTTTCGCTATGTTCTCTTGGTCTCCCGCAACCAACATTGACTGATGATGTTTCTCTCGAAGTCCCGCAGTTCGATGTCCAGTATGAAAACGAACAAGCCGAAGTGTTGAACGGGATGTTGAATCCTGAACAGAAATTAGTTTACGACTTGGTTTTGGAAGCTGTACGAGATGAGAATCCTAACACACCGAAGACATTTTGTGTTAATGCGTTTGCCGGAGCTGGAAAAACTTTCCTTTTTAGGACGATCCTTCATGCTGTTCGAGGAATGGGCCACGTTGCCATTCCCGTTGCGTGGATAGGTGTGCTGTTGACCGGTGGAAGAACTGTACACTCTACTTTCAAGTTGCCGTTCCACTTCTGGAAAATTCTTCTTTTTTCATGTAGAGGGACACCAGTACTGACCGACGCCTACCTTATCGAAATTTGGGTTTAATTTCACCAGGAAAAGATAGAAGCAATATAACATTTTAAGTTGGGGTGCTCTGAATTTAGATTACTTAGTGTCGGAAACCGCGGAGTGAAATGCCAAAGCATCTGGGACATTGTTGGAGCTGGTGACTTGAAATGCTGTAAGAGAGTTTCCTAATACATGAGAGATAAGGCAGCACAGAAGCATTCGGTGAGATACAAATTGGGAATTAAATTAATTAAGTAAATACTGTAGATTAAGACATTGATAATATAACTGTACTGCCGCATTTGTGTACTAATAACTCAGCTTTCACGAACGCCCTCTGGTGAAAAAGACAAAAAGTAGTTAGCTGAACGGGTGACGCGTCTAACAGGGATGTTGAAACGATAGACCGTCTCCGTATATATTAGAAACATAATGCTTGTATTCATTGTAACTTGTAAATATTATGTAAATATCTTTCACATGTAAGATAAAACTTCTTGAAAAAGTTTATAGCAGTGTTCTGCTGTGAATCGAATTTCAGCATAGACACTGTTATTTCTATAATCCATAGTTCTATTTGGGAGAGCTTTCGATTTCTATATTCGATTCAAACCACTACTTCAATTAAGTCTTAATGACTTTTTATTTTCACACATTTTTTATATTACAATATGTACGTAATTCGAGATTAATTTCAAATCAAAAGGTGGGGATTATACCCCCTTTGTATCAAATTCTATCAAGAGAAACCGAGTGAGTGACTGCTCCCTTCCCAGTTCGTTTTTCGACTCCCCGTTGTCACTGGCAGAAGCGAAACTTTCGCTCATTTCACGTTCGAGTTGTAACATTTCTCCCACCTTCTGATTTTTGACAAAGTATGAAAAAATCAAAACAATTATGAAATGAAAATTGAAATAAGAATATAAGATTGGTAATTTAAATCTTACCAAAAATTAACAATTTTATCTAGGCGTAACAAATATCTTGAATATTTTAAACTTACTTAATATTCTGCAAACTTGCATTCTTTAAAAAATAGGCAAAAAATTCTTTTCTGAAAAATACTAGTAAAGCGATTAGTTCACTAAACTGGAAAATCAAATTGTATACAAAATTTAAATTCAAAGAAAAGAATAAAGAAAACAAATAACAGTGGTACTGAAAATAAAATTAAACTAATTAAAGTTCTTTGGTTTCACAATTTTTCTGCCATATCTAAAAGTGTGCTGGTCTGTTCTTTTCCTTCCATCGTCCTGTTCGAGAATAAACATACTCATGAAACACAAACACTAAGCTTTAATGGACTGTAGCTTTATTTCTTTTAACTTCTGTTTGGATGGACACTTGCCATCGCATAGGTGCACCTCTCAGCACGCAATCAAACACACTAATAATGGCCGCTAGCTAACCACGTTGTCGTTTTCTCCCATCGTGGTTGCCAGATCACTTCTGCCTTAACACACCGCCCGGGTTGGGCATTTGTTACATAGTTAACAATGACCAAAATTAAACAGTTTTAAATCACCATACAGTCCAAATCATATATCAGAAAATTTAAATTGATACACATGAACAAAAGCAATAAACATAATTAACCACAGAACATGAAATGCACAACATCTAAATTAAAATACAATGCATATATATAACAATTTTTTTAACTCAGGAAATATACATGAAATTATGTAACATCTACTGGTAGTACAGCTAATTTAGTTATTGGTCTTTTTAAAAACACCTGACTTGGTTCTTACAATACAAACTCTAACCTTTTTATCCTTACCATAAATTACCTCTTCTATTTTACCCAGTAACCAAGTCGAAGTGGGCATGTTGTCTTCCTTTACTAAAACTATAGTGCCCTTTTTAACGTTATCCTTAGAGAAATACCACTTAAATCGTTGCTGTAAATGACTGATGTAATCATTTTGCCATCTTTTCCACAAATATTGCGTTACTTTAGTAGTGCGCTGCCAGCGCTTTAAAGAACTATCAGAAAAAATCAGTTAAATCAGGCTCTGTTATTGATGTTAAAGGTCGCCCGACTAGAAAGTGTGCGGGTGTAAGAGCTTCTAAATCATTGGTGTCATTTGACAAAGGGGATATTGGACGTGAATTTAAAATTCCTTCAATCTGGTTCAAAATTGTAAGAAACTCCTCAAATGTAAAAATCAATCTCCCAACTGCACGCTTAAGATAAAACTTAAACGACTTAATACCTGCCTCCCAGATACCTCCAAAGTGAGGAGCCTCCCCAAAAAAGGGAAGGGATAAACTTCCAATGAATTCTTTCAGATGTCAGATATTTGGTTAAGAATTTATCAGGGTATTTCAACAAATTGTAGAGTCGCTTCAATTCATTGCTAGCCCCAACAAAATTTCGAGCGTTATCGCTAAATAAGGTTGCGCATTTACCCCTTCTAGAAATAAATCGCTTCAAAGCAGCAATAAATGATTTTGTAGAAAAATTTGAAACGATCTCGAGGTGGACTGCACGAGTCAAGAGGCAAACAAAAATTGCAACATAAATCTTGTGCACTACGCTCTTCTTCTGAGTTGTATACTTTATACCAAAAGGGCCACAAAAGTCAACACCAGTATGGTTAAAGGGAAAGGATGGATTCAGTCTCTCTAATGGTAAATTTCCCATCTTTTGATCCAGCAATACTGGTTTTACTTTGGCACACGTAACACATTCTCTTACTATCTTTCTAGCAAGATTACGCCCACTTATCGGCCAAAATTTTTGTCTAACACTATGCAAGAGCGCTTGTGCTCCAGTATGAAAGTTTCGAATATGGTAGTGTAACATAATTAAATGAGTCAGTTTATGATTTTTTGGCAGGACAGCAGGGTGCTTTGTGTTAAAGGGTAAGTTAGCTTCCTGCAGTCTACCACCTACTCTAATAACTTGAGATTCATCTAAAAAGGGACATAAAAATTTTAACTGACTATTTTTACATACTTCCCTTCTCTTACTTAAGTTCTTGAATTCTTCAGGAAAGTTTTGACATTGGACTAAGGAAAGTAATTTATTTTCGCTTAACGAAACCTCATCTACTGTCAGATGACCTACTTGTTTTTCCTTGGATCTACAATTTCTTATAAATCTTAAAACATAAGCAAAAACATTAATTAATTTAGCATAACAATTAGTAATACTAAAAAACATAATCCAAAAGAGAATTTTTAACAGTTACGGTCAAATTTACATTAGAAATAAGTTTCAGTTCGCGCACATAGTTCTCATTTGAATTTTCAAAGTTATTATTAACACTATAATTAATGACCTGTTGATGCAGAAAATTTGGTCCTTGAAACCACAAAGAGTTGTCAGCAATAATTTCCGGTCTCAGACCGCGAGAAATTAGGTCAGCGGGATTGTCTGCTGTTCTGACATGTTGCCAGCAGAAATCCTTAGTTAGCTCTTGGATACGAGCTACTCTATTTGACACAAACACTTTTAGAAGATGAGGAGATGTAGCAATCCAGGCTAACACAATTGTTGAATCTGTGTACAGAATAACTTTGTCAACATATAAACTCAAAGATGTTATTACCTTACACACAAGTTTGGAAAGGAGCTTCGCTGCACACAACTCCAGACGAGGAATGGTTATTACCTTGATAGGCGATACTCGAGATTTGCTGCAAAGTAAGTAAAGTCACTTTAACTTCGCCAATTTTAGAGACACAGCGCAAGTAAATTACTCCACCATATCCAAACTTTGAAGCATCAGCAAAACAGTGGAGCTCAATTTTTTTTAATTGATTCTATTAGAGTGCAACGAGGGACTTTGATTTGTTTCAACTCTGGTAGGGCCTTTTGAAATGTCTCCCATTCTTGTCGCTCTTTGAAAGGAAGTGGATCATCCCACTCTAGATGTAAAAGCCACAGCCTTTGCAGGAATATCTTAGCACGCATGATTACAGGCCCTAGGAAACCTAAAGGATCAAACAGTTTAGCAATATCTGCCAAAACCGTGCGTTTTGTACAGATTTTTGACGAACTAGACACAGTAAAACTAAAAGAGTCTTCTTCTGGATTCCATCTTAAACCCAGAGTCTTTACGGTGCTTTGTGAAGATTCTCCAAAACGATACTCTTGTTTTTCGAATGGAACTTGTTCTAAAAGAATTTTTTCGTTTGAGCACCACTTGTGCAATTCCATTTTCGCAGATTGTAGCATGTCTATTAACTGCCGCTGCAATTCTACAGCAGAGGTGACATCTTCTGCACCAGACAAAATGTCATCAACATAAAAATCGTTGAGTGTCGTTTTAGAAGCCGATGGATACTTATCTTTTTCATCTTAGGCTAACTGCCTCAAAGTCTTGTTGCTAAAAAAGGCGCTGATTTTGTTCCATATGTTACCGTAAGTAATTGATAAAGTTTAGATGCATCATTCAACGTATTTTTCCAAAGTATGCATTGAAGTTTCGTTGCTCAGGATCTATACGAATCTGCCGATACATCTTGCATATATCAGCAGTGAAAGCCACCTTGTGTTTTCTAAATCGTAGCAAGATAGCAAAACAGGTCATCTTGAACTACACCTCCATTCATCAAACAGTCGTTTAATGAAAAACCAGACGATGAAGGAGCCGATGCGTCGAATACCACTCGTAACTTAGTTGTACTGCTGTCTGCCTTATAAACACCATGATGAGGCATTATGTATTTAGGAGTTTCCGTCACACTCTGCATTTTTTGCATATGCCCTAACGCTTCATATTCACTCATGAACTCACAATACATCCTAGACATGTCAGGGGTTTTGTCTAGTCTCTTCCACAAATTATTTAACCGTTGGGTGGCTAATTGCGAAGAATCACCCAAATGAACATCTTGCCTTAATGGTAGCGTCACTACATATCTACCCTCAATATCCCTCTGATGGGTTTTTCTAAAATGCTCCTCACATTCTACTTCTTCTTTATTTTTTATTTTGAGAGATTCTGTAACAGCCTCAATTTCCCAAAAGGACTTGATTAGTGAATTTAAGTCTTCTTCGACTTTCATAAATCCGCACTGAATCGTATTGCCTGAATTTGAACCAACATTTACACCGGTAGCAATGTATCCAAATACGGAATTTTGAAGAGTTAAATTAGAATTTCGTGGATGAATTTGATCAGCCTTCAATAGTTCATAAAAGCATTCTGCACCTAACAAGGCATCTATTTTCTGGGGCTTGTTAAAATGAGGATCCGCTAGTTTGATCTTTTGCGGAAGCTGTGAAAATGAAAATTTAAAATAATTCACTGGTACTAAATCATTAATTTTAGGTACAACAAAGAATTCAAGAGCTCTGTGGTAATCACGCTTGTTTGATATCACAGCAGTAAGCTTGGATTTTACCGATAGAGCTTTTCCATTTAAACATGAAATTGATATGTTAATTTTACTCCCTTTTATTCCAAGCCTATTAGCGAAATCATAGGTGAAACACGAACACTGACTTCCGCAGTCAAGTAAAGCTCGACAAGCAATAAAATTCCCGCAAGAATCTTTAACATAAATAATAGCAGTAGATAGTAATACCTCCTTCGAAATCACTTGTGAAGCAGTTACAGACGAACCAATAAATTCCGAATTGTTTATTTGGTTGCAATTAGATAACATTTCAAAACATCTGGCGTCAGGGTTTAGATTCGAGTTGTCTACTAAAGGAGGGTCAGAATTATTAGCCGGTGCTTCCTCCTTCCCCACACAACTCGCTATAGTAGCAGGTGAATGCGAAATGTCTTGATTGGGAAAATGCAGTAAACTAAACTATGGTGTTTTTTCATGCATTTTGAACAGCTGAATTCTGAACGACAGTTCTTTGCAGTATGAGTCGGATTAAAACCCAAGCAATTAAAGCATAATTTATGTTTCTTAACAAATTCAAGACGTTCACTTACAGTCATTTTCAAGAAAGAATTACATTTATACAACTTGTGAAAATTGATACTTTTACAACAAATACATTTAAAATCTTGACCTTTAACATTTGACACTAAGGCAGTCACCTTTTGAATAGGTTGACCCTTTTTTGCATTAAACACATTAGATGACTTTGACGACTGCAAAGTTCTAGCATGATTTTTTAGAAATGTAATAAGCTCAGATAATTTAGGTAACTCACTTGTTTTTGAATCTCTTTCCCACCAAAGACGAGTGGAAACATCCAATTTTTGCAGCAAAATATATGCAAGAAATGTTTCTGCGAATCCCTCTATTTTTTGGTCTAATATTTCCAGAGACCTTACACTTTCATTCACTGTGTCTACTAATTTCAAAATAGAAGACGGGCTTTCATTTTGTATGGGAGAAATTGACATGAAACGCTTTATCTGAGCGAAAACCTGATCACGTTTATTGGAGTATCTCTCTTCTAAAAAATCCCAAGCAATTTTATAGTTATTGTCACAAATTGTGACTGATTGAATAATCCTAGCTGCTTCGCCATGAAGCGATAACTTCAAATACGAGAGCTTTTGGGAATCCGATAATACATTATTATTATGAATGCTTGAAATGAAAAGATCCCGAAAGCTTAACCAATCTTGAATATTTCCACTAAAAGACGGCAAGTTTAATTTAGGTAATTTCATACCTTGTGCACTGGTATTTTCAATCTTTACATTACTTGCATCTTTAGCACTAAATTTTGACATTTGTCGTTTAACCTTAACCCACAAAGTATCAATACTGTCTTGAACAGTTTGTTGTTCAGTTACATATTTGTCAAACTCTTTTTCATCAACTATTACAAATAATTTATCAAAAATATCTGAACATTCATTATTAAATTTTGCACATTTTATTTCAAAAAGTTGTAACTGAAATTCATCACAAGTATATTTTTCGAAAATCTGATGTCGCTTTCGTTATATTTGACTTTAAAATTCTTTTCTTAATTAAAATGCTTCCATAATTAACGTTAATTAATAATACCGAACATATGAGCAAATTCACTTACCTCCGTTTGAGGTAATCCAAATGAACCCGAAATTTGTAAATCCAAACACACACTAATTTTTATGTCGAATGCGAAGTAACATATCACACTTTTTTTATCAATTTAACACTTCACCTTTAAGCTTTTTAACCAGCACTTTATCCATAGGCACTAATCTTCCTACCGGGTTGCACGGACCACAAAATATGTTCGAGAATAAACATACTCATGAAACACAAACACTAAGATTTAATGGACTGTAGCTTTATTTCTTTTAACTTCTGTTTGGATGGACACTCTTGCCATCGCATAGGTGCACCTCTCAGCACGCAATCAAGCACACTAATAATGGCCGCTAGCTAACCACGTTGTCGTTTTCTCTCATCGTGGTTGCCAGATCACTTCTGCCTCAGAAGTGATCTGCCTCAGCCTTCGTATAGATCCTGAGAAAACTCAAGATACTTGGAAAAATACGTGAATGATGCATCTAAATTTATCAATTATTACGGTACATATGGACAAAATCAGCGCCTTTTTTAGCACAAGGTTTTGAGCAGTAGCCTTAGATGAAAAGAAAGTTCCATCGGCTCTAAAACGACACTCAACGTTTTTATGTTGATGACATTTGTCTGGTGCAGAAGATGTCACCTCTGCTGAGAATTGCAGCGGCAGTTAATAAACATGCTACAATCTGCGAAAATGGAATTGCAAAAGTGGTGCTCAAACGAAAAAATTCTTTTAGAACAAGTTCCATTCGAAAAACAAGAGTATCGCTTGGAGAATTTTCACAAAGCCCGTAAAGACTCTGGGTTTAAGATGGAATCCAGAAGAAGACTCTTTTAGTTTTACTGTATCTAGTTCGTCAAAAAATCTGTACAAAACGCACGGTTTTTGGCTGATATTGCTAAACGTTTGATCCTTTAGGTTTCCTGGGGCCTGTAATCTGCGTGCTAAGATATTCCTGCAAAGGCTGTGGCTTTTACTCTAGAGTGAGATGATCTACTTCCTTTCAAAGAGCAACAAGAATGGGAGACATTCAAAAGGCCCTACCAGAGCTGAAACAAATCAAAGTCCCTCGTTGCACTCTAATAGAATCAATTAAAGAAATTGAGCTCCACTGTTTTGCTGATGCTTCAAAGTTTGGATATGGTGGAGTAATTTACTTGAGCTGTGTCTCTAAAATTGGCGAAGTTAAAGTGACTTTACTTTGCAGCAAATCTCGAATATCGCCTATCAAAGCAATAACAATTCCTCGTCTGGAGTTGTGTGCAGCAGAGCTCCTTTCCAAACTTGTGTGCAAGGTAATAACATCTTTGAGTTTATATGTTGACAAAGTTATTCTGTACGCAGACTCAACAATTGTATTAGCCTGGATTGCTACATCTCCTTCATCTTCTAAAAGTGTTTGTGTCAAATAAGAGTAGCAATTCGTATCCAAGAACTAACTACAGGATTTCTGCTGGCAACATGTCAGAACCGCAGACAATTCCGCTGACCTAATTTCTCGTGATCTGAGACCGGAAATTATTGCTGATAACTCTTTGTGGTTTCAAGGACCAAATTTTCTGCATCAACAGATCATTAATTATAATAGTGTTAATAATAACTTTGAAAATTAAAATGAGAACTATGAATGAGAACTGAAACTTATTTCTAATGTAAATTTGACAGTAACTGTTAAAAATTCTCTTTTGGATTATATTTTTAGTATTACTAATTGTTATGCTAAATTAATTAATGTTTTTGCTTATGTTTTAAAATTTATAAGAAATTGTAGATCCAAGTAAAAACAAGTAGGTCATCTGACAGTAGATGAGGTTTCGTTAAGCGAAAATAAATTACTTTCCTTAATTCAATGTCAAAACTTTCCTGAAGAATTCAAGAACTTAAGTAAGAGAAGGGAAGTATGTAAAAATAGTCAGTTAAAATTTTTATGTCCCTTTTTAGATGAATCTCAAGTTATTAGATTAGGTGGTAGACTGCAATAAGCTAACTTACCCTTTAACACAAAGCACCCTGCTGTCCTGCCAAAAAATCATAAAGTGATTTATTTATGTTACACTACCATATTCGAAACTTTCATACTGGAGCAAAAGCGCTCTTGCATAGTGTGAGACAAAAATTTTGGCCGATAAGTGGGCGTAATCTTGCTAGAAAGATAGTAAGAGAATGTGTTACGTGTGCCAAAGTAAAACCAGTATTGCTGGATCAAAAGACGGGAAATTTACCATTAGAGAGACGGGAAATTACCTCTGGTGAAAAAGACAAAAAGTAGTTAGCTGAACGGGTGACGCGTCTAACAGGGATGTTGAAACGATAGACCGTCTCCGTATATATTAGAAACATAATGCTTGTATTCATTGTAACCTGTAAATATTATGTAAATATCTTTTACATGTAAGATAAAACTTCTTGAAAAAGTTTATAGCAGTGTTCTGCTGTGAATCGAATTTCAGCATAGACACTGTTATTTCTATAATCCATAGTTCTATTTGGGAGAGCTTTCGATTTTATATTCGATTCAAAACTACTACTTCAATTAAGTCTTAATGGACTTTTTATTTTCACACATTTTTTATATTACAATATGTACATAATTCGAGATTAATTCAAATCAAAGGTGGGATTATAACCCCTTTGTATCAAATTCTATCAAGAGAAAACCGAGTGAGTGACTGCTCCCTTCCCAGTTCGTTTTCGACTCCCCGTTGTCACTGGCAGAAGCGAAACTTTCGCTCATTTCACGTTCGAGTTTGTAACATTTCTCCCACCTTCTGATTTTTGACAAGTATGAAAAAATCAAAACAATTATGAAATGAAAATTGAAATAAGAATATAGATTGGTAATTTAAATCTTACCAAAAATTAACATTTTATCTAGGCGGTAACAAATATCTTGAATTTTTAAACTTACTTAATATTCTGCAAACTTGCATTCTTTAAAAAATAGGCAAAAAATTCTTTTCTGAAAAATACTAGTAAAGCGATTAGTTCACCTAAACTGGAAATCAAATTGTATACAAAATTTAATTCAAAGAAAAGAATAAGAAAACAAATAACAGTGGTACTGAAAATCACTTTGACAACACGTAAACTTCGTTGTCTTTCCACAGGATATGTTTCTGCCATATGTGACTTATAGGCCAGATCTGTTCTTTTCCTTCTGTCGTCCTCTACAAACACTAAATGATCTTTCTTGATGGTTCGCGAAGGTACGGTCTTTGGTCGATGTACTAACAGTCCAAGATATTCATCTCTAAAGTCTTATGTACGAAATTCTACACGTAATTTTTGGTGGTTTCGCCATCTTTTCGATAAGTTGGTTTTATCCAAACTGTCCAGATCTGGAACACCTTCAATTCGCACATCTTGATTAAACATAGATGGAGTGAGTGCACATAAATCGATTGGAATCTTCTGACTCGTATGTTAATGGTCTGATATTTGCTTCTGCATCACATAGGATAGTTAACATTTCTTCATATGAAATTAATGCTTTTCCCAGGACTCTTCTCAATAATTTCTTAATCATCCGAACCAGTCTTTCCCACCATGCTGCGGTTGGTGGATTTAACCCTCCAAGTGGCCAAGCCGTATATATACGTTCAACCAAAATTGTGCTCTAAGCGTCCAGCAAGCATATATAACGTCCAACCAAAATCCTCTTCTAAGCGCCCAGCAAGCATATATACGCTCGCGTTAGGATTTCTTTCCCCCAGCAATTTCGACGGGAGTGATTGCACTAATAGGCTCCCTGCTGGGAAGGGTTTCGCTTTTCTGAAATTTAGCTTGTTATTTTGGGGTTGCTGCACATAACTGTTGAGTCGCCAAACATCCCCCATAGCACAAAACATCCTCAGGATGTCCTATTTAAGTCGCAATATCCCGGGACATACTTAGAATGTCCTAAGGATGTTGATTCTCAGATGTCCTGAGGAGATCGTAATTTAACATCCTGAGGATGTCTTATTTAAGTCGCTATGTCCCGGGATATGACAGGATGTCCTGAAGATGTTGATTCTCAGATGTCCTGAGGAGTTCACCAATTTCACATCCTGAGGACATTCATTCTGCATTTGACTTTCGTTGACTGAGACTTTCGTTGTCAAAACATTTGAGGATATTTGTTCTCAAATTACCAGTTTTAATTTTTGACATTGCACATCTGAAACTTGCACATTATTTTATTTTTCATATGATTTGTTTCTAAATGCTGTACATTAAAAATATTGATTATGATTGATGATTTATTCTTGTTATTTTGTTATTAATTTTAACTGCTATTTTTCTGACGTTTTTAAAATTTATTTAGTAATGAAAAGATTTTTTTCAAGGATTAGCATTTTCTAGAATATTTGCAAAATTCTAATAACATATTTTTTTTATAAAAAATGTATAATACATGTATAATTACTTACAGATTACAAACCCTACTACAATATAGGTAAAAGTAGATATAGATATTTTAATTACGGAAACGAATTTTTTTTAAAATTTGGATATAGAGACATTAGGTATTTTTTTGGAAGCAGGAAACATGAAAAATTAGCAACTGCCTTCGCCGGAATCGAAGGACGGACCTCTGGAATACCGGCCCGTGTGCAGAACCACTACATCACGAAGACACCTAGGTGTGGTGGTGGTGTATTTAATTATGGCAAAGCACACTAGGGGTAATCTGTCTAAGGGGAGGATGTCTTCGTGGAGGACTTTCTAAGGGAAATGGCTCGTATATACATTACACGTGGGAAAATCACAAAAACACCCTGCAGCCAGACGTTCGCGGGATTCGAATCCGGATCGCTACCAGGTTCAGCGACTTACCCTCGGCCTCTGGTGGGCCGAAGACCACGCTAGGAAGCGGGAAAAAATACCTTAATACTTCTCTTTTTAAAGGCCGCTTTTTAAGGGGATAATCACTAAATCTGGGGGTGGATATACCTCATCCAACACTTTTAGTTCGGGCGCCACTGTAGAGACTTAGGATTTTTGGGGGAAGCCGAGAGACGAAAAATTGGCAACCGCCTTCCGTGAATCGAACCACGGACCTCTGGAATACCGGCCCAGGGCAGACTATTACCCACGAAGGCACGCTAGGAAAGCGGGAGAAATACCTCATAAGAAAAATTTTCCTCTATTACGGACAGAAATGTTTTTCAATCGCGCGACTTATTGATATTGAATTAACAGTCGTGCGATAATTTCGCAGTAAAGATACATCTTGATGACTATCCAAGATTGTAAAATTGGTCTTATATAGAGATGGTCGTCTTAAGAATAATGCTTAATATAAATTTATTTATGTGGCGTTCCGACAGATATTCAACTTCTATTCATGAGATGGCGCCACGTGAAAATCCAGTTCTTAATCGGAGCAGCAAAGCGACATCTTACTCACTCAGACTTCTCGTCGGACACGTACGCGACGCTAGCACGAACTGTTCCGAGCTCTGTGTTGATCTCTTCAATGTAATTTAAATTGTAATTTATACTTAATATTCTTTTGTTATAGGAGTTGTCTTTCTTATTTTCTTTAATTATATCATGCTTAGCACACGATCACAAAGTGGTGACTTTTTGACTGACACGCTATGAAATGGATTTTCAACGACCTAAGCCACGTGCATCCAAGGCATTCTGAAGAACTGACAAAAAAAACAACGAATATGGACATTAAAGTATGCTACACGTACCCCTTCATTATTCTAGATTCTTCATTATCTTCATTATTCAGATTCATTATTCAATTATTTCTAGAAGTATTGATATATATTGCTTCTGTTTTTTTTCAAAGTCGTGCATATCATCGCAGGAGCTTCAGCAATCATCAAATGATCTTCCGTTCCGCTGACTCGCCGTCGTGATAATTCTTTGATCATTCACTTTTGTGACAAATGTGTACAACAGTGATTTTCGTAATGTGCCACATCAGTACTTTGTTCAAAGCTACGGCAAATTCTTCCCTCAGTTTCAAAAAGTAGTGATTTTTTTCCCATGTGCTACAGGAGGATTTCCTTTTTCCTTCGAAGTTGCCTTAGCAGTTGTGAGTGGTGTATGTGAGTGAGCAATACAAAATGAACGCATATTTTTTTTTCCTCAAATAAGATTTCTTTTCATGCATTTCGGTAAAATATTATTGTGTTTGTAATTGCTGACCTGTCTTATTTGTGTTGTAGTCACGAAATTTTTCTTGCATGGTTAAAATTTATTGTTCATGGTAAAATATCAATCGTGTATCTTATGCTACAATATTTGTGCTGTTAAGTGTTATTATTTAAAGTGAAAAATTATCTATCAGTATGCCGACGATATTCCACCAGAGCCAAATCACACGCGTTGCGGTGAAGCCACCGCCTTTCTGGAAAATAACCCTTCTTGTGGTTCGCTCAATCGAAGCACAATTTTCTATCGCTCGCAT